TATTTTGCTAAAATATTGCCTATATTCATTTCATAGTGTTAGACAACATGGAAAGTGCTCTCTGAAAGGGCAGTAAACTTCAGTGCAGAGTACAAATGAACCTCTCTCTCTAGGTAACGGAGTTGGAAATTAGTGGTGATCACAGACATATAGTGTAAGGTTTAATGTGGTTGTGAATAATGAAGCAATTCTTGTGTTTTGATAAATGTCAGCGGTCTAAATGGGCCTGAGAAAGAAGGAGGGGGAAAGCATTTGTACTGGCTCACACATTTGAAATATTCCATTAGTAATTCAATAGAACCAGGACTGCTCCAACTCTCAGAGGACCAAGTAAAATTCAATTTTAAAAAATGAAGCGTATGATTCTGCTGTCTCTTCAAGGATTTAAGTTTATAGCACAGAGCGATATCCTGGGTATTTGTCATTAAAGATAATCAGCCTGGTACAGTTTTTCTTCCATCTTGTGTTATTTTATTAACTCCTCTGTAATAACAGTTACTACTGTAAAACAAGGTGTACTATTAATTATTAGCCCTGAATTTCATTTTCTAAGTGGAGTTGTTTTAGAAGGAGCACGGTGGAAGGGTAGGGAAAAATGACTCAGACACTGCAGTCAATTGTTACCTCCGAGCACATACACTTAGATTGCTTTCCTTTGATGCTGCTGCCAAATTCATTCACAAGCGTATAAAAAAAAGGTCATGACATTTAGAATAACAGTAGTCTGGAAATTAAATGTTCCTTTACATTTTTAATTTCTGAAAGTAATTTATTATGGAATAATATTTTAATATGATTGAATGGATGTGTAAAGATTAATGCAAACTGTGTTTAAATTGGAAGTTCACAAGCACATATATTTAACCTTGTTGTATAATAGGCATAAAAAAGTTAATGCAGGAGCTCAAGGAACTGACTTTCCATTTTGCTGGAAGCCCTTGCACTGAGAGTCTCTAGTATTTTTCCACTGATATTCCTGGTAAGGTATCAGCTCTCCATCTTTTTCTCCTTAACATTACGCTCATGTCTGAATGGATTTCACAAAACCAGTGTCTAATAAGGGATGGAAATAGGGTATGATCTTTCAGGTTGAAAAAAACCTGCTGATCTGAGAGTTTTTCTACCGTGTATATCAATTCAGC